GTTTCCGCCAGGCTGGTTCCAGGAGGGCAGTTGACAAGAGGCCAACACAAATCATTCTTTGCAACCTAATCTTGGAAATGCTTCCACCTCTATTTTTGAAGTTGCAGTTGCTCCATCCAACCCATATTTCTTTCAAGAAGATGGCCCAGGCCTTGCTGGCTGCCCAGTGTGTGCTGCCCTCTCCCTGGCCTTTGTACAGCCAGTGCATTCTTGCTGGGAAAGGCGTTTTAATGGCTCTGGGCAGACCTGAGCTTCTACCCTGTCTTTTGTGCTTTGTTTAAACCCTTACAAGCAATTATCTTTTATAATCTGATGCTTACTTTAGGTAGCCCATTCAAATTATCTCTAGGAAACTGTTAGGGTGCTGTGTCACTTTCCCTGGGGAGACATGAACAATATCTCCCCACCGCAGGATAGTGGTGATACAGTGCCTGAGACTATACCTAGAGAAAGATTCTGTGGAAGGCCAGCTTAGTGAGCCAGGGAGTTTCCTGGGGGTACTTATTGCAGCACGAGTGGCTTACTTGCTCTGCCCCTGTGAATGGCTGCACCATTGAGAAGAATGAGTCACAAAAGCTGCCTCCCTGGAGCTCCCTAACACCTTGTAGTCAGCTGAGTTGATTGAAGAGTCTCCTTGTTCTCATTCAAAGCATCACAGCCCATGAGCTCTCAGCCCCAATTCACCCTGATAAATACACTTGTCTACACAGTTGCAGAGTCATCTCATTCTTCAAAATGGAGTCATAATTTGCTTTACAATGGAGCATTTCAGGGCAAAAAAACAAAACAAAACAAAAAAAAAAAACAAAAAAAAAAAAAAACAAACAAAACAAAAACCAATGTTTTATACAAAATGGAGTCACTTAGGAAAAGTGCAACCTGCTCATTCTTGGGGGTTTTGGATTTAAAAATCAGGTGTTTTGTCTTTCTAAACACTTCAGAATATCTCTCTCTCTCTTTCTCTCTCCTGTGTGTGTGTGTGTGTGTGTGTGTGCGCGCGGTGTTGTGGATCCAATTCAATCCCCTCACATCTACCACTGAGATTATCTCCAGCACACTTATGAACATTTTGATATACCCATTTAACACAACTTGTCACATGCCTCTGATGCATCCAACACAATGCTGCACTGGGAATAAACAGTACCTGCTAGACTGTTTGAGGTGCCACATATGGGTACAGCAATTTCTTAAGATTGCAGAGGAAGCTGGTCCTGATGACACAAACCTATCCTCCCAGCTACTTGGGATGCTGAAGCAGGAGGTTCTGTAAGCTTGAGGGCTGCCTCTGCCTCTTAGTGATAGCCTGTCTCCAAGTACAAAGTACAAACAGGGCTCAACTATACTGTTGAGCACCTGCGGCCTTAAGTTCAACCTCCAGTCCTGATAATAATAATAAATAATAACAGTGATAGTGATAACAACCCAGAGCGAATTACATAAAGACTTCAATAGCAACTGAGCTCAAACAAGATTCAGAGTCAAGTAATCAAGGCAATGAGACAGAACTGGGAGGCATGAACACAGGCAGATGAGGATGGCATACTTCCAGAAACACAGCAATAAAGAAAACGGGTTGGTGGGCTTTGGAGCCTAGAGAATAAGTTCATTTTGAACAGATGTTGTGGTAGTTTGAAGGAAAATGACCCCCAAAGGGAGTGGCACTGTTAGGAGGTGTGGCTTTGTTGGAGTAGCTATGGCCTTGTGGGAGGAAGCTGTCACTGTGGAGGTAGGCATTGAGGTCTCATATATGCTCAAGCCACGGCCAGTGTCTCTGACCACTTCCTCAGTTACCTCTCTAGTACCACTTCTGCTTACCTGCTGCCATGTCCCACCATGATGATAATGCACTGAACCTCTGAACTGTAAGCTCCTCCAATTAAATGTTTTCCTTTATAAGAGTTGTCCTGGTCACGGTGTCTCTTCACAGCAATAGACTAAGCAAATGACTAAGACAGTTGTTACAGGGCAGTCTCTTCACAGCACCCTAGAGGGAGGGTTGGGAAGAATAGTCTCTGGTTGTGAATGTTTGAGATGCTATAAAAGAAGGGACTGTGTTGTTTAGTTTTGTCAACTTGACACAAACTCAAGTCATCTAAGAAGACAGATCCTTAACTGAGAAAATACCGCCATCACATTGGCTTGTAGGCAAGTCTGTGGAAGCATTTTATCATTAATATTATTATTATTAATGAATAATGTGGCCAGTTCTGTTCTGGGCAGTTGGTCCTGGGTTGTGTATAAGAAAGTAGGCTGGACAAGCCATGTGGAAACAAGCTAGTAAGCACTGTTCCTCCATAGTTTTGTTTCAGTTCCTGTCATGACTTCCTTCAATGATGGTTTGTAACAAGGAAGTTTAAGATAAAGTAAACCCTTTCTACCCCTAGTTGCTTCTGGTCAGTGTTTTATTACAGAGACAGAAAACAAACCAGGACAGGGATTTATATGGAGCATCTGCAGTGGGCCAGGTACAGGGCCAAGGTGGAGTACAGGAAAGCAGGACTGTTTCTGAGTCTAAAGATGCTGCTGGTCTTACCTCAGTACCAGAGCAAATGCTGAATCCAAGTTGTGCTGATGGCCTTGCTGAACAGACTTCTTCCTTCTTCACAAGCAGCTCCCAGTTTAGCTGAACTGCATTTGGAAGCTATTGCCCCTGTCTGCCCCATGATTGGTTTAATACAAATAGCAGATTGCTGATAGCTTATTTATAACCATGATGCTTGGTTGCTTGGTTAGGTAACCAAAACCTGTTCTGTTAAGACTCAGTTTGTAAGTGTTCAGAGGGTTGGTGTGCAAATACAACTTACATTAACAATAGACAAAGATGTACACTATGACAGGAACAAATTATCCTTTGAATTTGAACCTGAAGATTCTACCTATAGTGTTATAGTTAAGTAGACAAGTTATAGCCCTTCTCAAGACTGATCTTTGATGGCTATGAATGTCTGGCATCTTAGGTCTTTGGGTCATGCACTAAAAAATTGTGTTTCCTAATTAGTGGGATCTTGTGGTCCAGTCTGTAATAAAAGCAAGTGGGGTTAGCTGTGTAAGTGCTCCTGGCGATGTCCTGTTATTTGGCCTTATATGATATGCCTGATATTTATTGTTGGATATCCTCCAATTATACATTGGAGGAGAAAAAATTAAAACAGATGGATATGCCCAATGTTTAAAAATTGGTTGGTGGGCCTAGAGCAAGTCTGAGAGGTTAAGGGTACTGGCTGCTCTCCCCGAGGACCTTGATTCGATCCCTAGCATCAGCAGGGCAGCTAATGAACCCCTGTAACTCCAGTCCCAAGGAATCTGATGTACCCTTCTATCCTCGAGGGCAGTGTGCAGGTGGTGCACAAACAATACATGTAGGCAAAACAGTCACACAGACAAAATAATAAAATAAAATTTAGGAAAAATTGATTTCATAATATAGCAATAACGTAGTGTGGATTTCTTTGGGTTTTTTCCCTCTTCTCTTGCTGAAGTTATTTTGAGATGGCTATATTAGCAGCAGGGAGGCATGGATGCTGTGAGTCAGCAGGGAGCTGCTTTGGGACTTAAGGGGGTGGACACCTGGGAAGTAGGTGAAGCGATGACACCTTATGTTTGAAGCTGATTCAGTGTTGGGTCACTGGGAAGCCAGAGTTTGTGACTTAGAACACACAGTCTGCCAACTTGATTTCCCTCAATCCCTGACATATGAAGATTTCACTAGAGTCAGACATATGCAAATTAGATTTCCCTTCCTAAGCCAAGGTTAAATAAAAGGGGAAGTTATGAAAGATTGCTTATAGCAGCAAAGATTTTTGAAGGCTTGAGGATGAATTTCCTTTAAAGCCAGGCTGGATCTCATTGCTAAGCAGGAAGGGGAAAGGAGATCCGGGCATAGGCACGCGCCATGCGTTTGTGCTGAGAGGTCTGTTCCCCACCCTCGGTAATTACAGGCATTTTCCTGGGCCTCAAGAAGCAGTTGGCAAGGAAGCCCAAGGAGGGCGTTCCCTCCTTTCTGTGCTTCTGGCTGGGTCCTGGCTCCCGCTACAGGGAGAGCCAGTTCCCAGCATGGCTCCTTGGGAAGTAATGATTCCTTTTCTCTTTTCTTGTTCAGCCTTGGATGGAAAACCTTTTTGATGCAAGTTGTGGCCAGGAGGGAAGGTAAACAAGCGGACTTGGGGAGGTAGGAGAGGGAGCTGCAGTCTGGGCAGCCACACCCATTGACCAAGCTAGGCCCTGGGGCATTCCCATCTGTGTGCCAGTGGTCCAGGACAACTCCAAACAATCTTTACGCATACACTATTCCATTTCAGCCCACCACACCGCCACACACACCCATGTTCAACCTATGCAGTTAATCATGCTCCCCTCCCCACTTTAGCCCCCCCCCCAACCATTCGACTCTACACACGGGCAACACACATAGACATTACATGTCACTTAGTGATCACCTCTCTAACCCCATCAAGACCCAAACCTAACACATCCTCCCACCCTAGCTGCTGGACTCCCCAAGCCCAGCACTAATTCCGGGCAGCTAGTGCTGGGAAGAACCCGCTAGGTCTCGGGTCCCGGGTCACCGCCGGCTGCCGCTCCGCCGCTCCTGGACCGCCGCTGGGGCGAGCCCCGTAGGACGCCGTGGCACGCCAGGGAGGGAGTGCCAGGGCCGGGCTGACCGTGTGCCTAAAGGCTGCGGGAGAAGGCAGCAGTAGCCAGAGCCACCCCCACCCCACGAGCGCGCGGACGCGTGCGGGACGTGTGCGTATAGGGACCCAGCTGACCGTCCTCGCGGCCCGCCCTCCTCTTCGGGAGGCGTGTGGGACCGACTCGCGGGGGCTAGGCTCGCAGAGGGGCGCGGCAGCCTAAGTGTGCGCGTGCGCGTGCAGGCGTGGCGGCCCGAGGGGTGGGGGAGCGGAAAGGAGGGAGCAACGGTGAGGGCGAAAGAGGGAGAAGGGAGGTGGGAGCAGCGAGGAGGGTGCAGAGGAGAAAGCTGGGAGGAGGGAGCAAGGCAGAGGGCGCAGAAGGGACCAGGGCGCGGGGAAGTGGCAGGCCCGGCCCGGTCGCTGCGCCCTCCCGGGGCGGCTCCTCGGCCAGCCTGTCCTCTCTGCGCCTGCAGCCGGAGCTCGCCCGCGTGTTGCCCGGCCCGTGCCGCCGCTCCCGGGCTCCGGGTCCTCGCTCCGCACCAGGAGAGATGAGTGCGGCCGCGGCGCCCGAGCGCGGCTGGAAGAGCGAGAAAGTGGACGAGGCGCAGGCCCTGGCGCGGAGCTGCGCCGCTCGCAGACCCGACTTCCAGCCGTGCGACGGGCTGTCCATCTGTGCCACGCACAGCCACGGCAAGTGCTTCAAGCTGCACTGGTGCTGTCACCTGGGATGGTGTCACTGTAAGTGGAGCCGCGTCGGCCTGTGGTCGCCCGCCTGCGGCCCGGCGCTGCCGGGACGACGGGAGGAAATCCCGGGGGAGCCTAGCTGCAGTCACAAAAGGGGACCTCTCCGGCTCAGGGCAGCCTGGGTCTGGTCAGACGTGGTAAAGCTGCCAGAGCTTACTGGCAAGGAAACCTTTTCCGAGGTGGGGGTAAGGATATGCCCCTTTCACTTTCTTGCCTTTTCTTTCTGGCTGCTATTTAACAGAAAGAGCCCATAGAAGTCCAAGTGATTCTCATTTATTCAAAATGAGAAAGAAGTATGAAGGATGGCTTCGAAGAAGTTAAAAGGAACAGTCTGAAGAGTAAACTTAGACATCCAGTTATAACATTTGAGCCAAGCCAGAACTAGTCTAGACCAGACCCTTTCTATTTATCCTGCAAGTTTTAAATAGATTAAACTTAAGTATCCATTTAATCAGAACTCCACAATTTGATTACTTTGGCATTTAGCTTAATCTCACTGATGAATCATTTCTTTTTAGAAACATTCTAAAGCCTGTTTTCACATAATCTTAGATTAGAGGGCTTTAGAGTGTGTTTAAGACACATTTTCCAAAGTGATCTTCAATCAAACTTATTTTTTTCTGTTATTCAGAAGCAAATGACTCACAAGGAGAGATATGCTATGTAACAAATCTTTATTTACATTAGTTGAGAATATTTGAATATCTTAGTTGAATTTGTGAATGAAAGCATAGAAAATCTTTGCTTTTCCCATATAGATTCAAGGTACATGGGCTGAGAACAAACATCGATTTTGTTGTTGTCCCTCTGCTGATGGAGCCAGACAGAAAGTTTGGCTTCTCATCACAAGTGTGGCTTCAGAGAAGGAAATATGGGTGCTAAAGTACACAAGTGGCATGAATTCACTGGGAGTCCACACAAATGGTGTGTGGTGTGGAGAAGGCCATTACCTTCCCTGCTTCCGATCCATCCCTTCCAGGTAGTGTTGATTCCTGGGAAGTGTGGACATGGTCAGATTCCTCCTCATTAATGTAGTGTGGATTTGCCACAGTCTTCCTTATACATTCTTTCCTCTGTTCTTACATGTACCTTGTGAAATCGTGTGTGCATGGGCACACACATTCTCAGTTGCATCTGAGCCATGACTCACATGAGGAGGTTAGAGGGTAACTTTGTGGATTTGGGGGAATCCAACTTAGGTTGCCAGGGTTATGAGGCAAGTGACTTCAATTCAGTGAACGATTTTGCTATCTTTCTTCTTACTAAGTCTTACACAATCAGCTCATTCTTCTCAGATCATCTTGGTCTCTACTCCAGATATGCATATTTGGATATTCCAAGAATTTCTCACACACATAGCCATTCTTTCTCTTCACCCCTTGCTATTCTTGAGTGAAGTAGGTTTCCCAAAACAGGCTTGAACTTCATGTTCACTGAATGGTTGAATGGAGATCGCCGCCATTTTCCACAGAGGCTGTTGTTTGTCCTGTTTCTGAACCACCCTTCCTGCCTGTCCTTCCTCTCACAGTATGGTATCCGTGGTTTTGCCCTGAATGTGTGTGCTTATGTTAGGTGAGAAGTACCTGAGTTCTGGTCTGGCCAGTGTGGACCAGACTGCACTCTTTATCTTTGAGATGCCACTCTGCCTTTGCCTAATTGCATCATGTTAGCCCTTCTCAGACCTCTCGCACCAAGCTTGCTGCTGCCCCTGCAAACTGAGCTTGTTGTCTGCTAATGCCATTAAGTAAGCTTTAAAACTGGTAGCAATTAATATACAGCTTGACCATCTCAAAGCTGTGTGCATGTTTTTGGAGACAAGTACTGATACCTTAGGGATTTATTCTCATTATTTTATTTTATGAGAATTAGTCCAGTCTACGGCCATACCACCCTGAAGGTGCCCGATCTCATTTGATCTCAGAAGCTAAACAGGGTTGGGCCTGGTTAGTATTTAAATGGGAGAATTAGCCCACTTTTCTAAGCTACTAGATTTTAGTCTTGGCTCTATTATTGGGTGTGTGTAGCTTTTGTATATCTCTGTATATGATTCCTCCTGAGTTCATGTCGTTGCGCCAGTAGTAAACTTCTATATCTCACTCTAGTTACTGATAAAGTGGTTAAGAGGGAAGGACAGAGTCCTGAATTCTGCTGATAGACCTGCACTTGAAGCTGATAGCAGCTCCTTAAGGAGCTCTTGTGGTGGCTTCTCCATGGTTACCTAGTTGCCTAAATGCCCTATTATCATCTTGTGTTGTTTATGTCCATCTGGGTCAATGGGAACTTGGTCAATTATATTGCTGCAGTCCCACAAACTCTGGGATTTTACCACTGCCTTTTAATCTGTGCTCTTTCTATATGAAATCCTCTTTAAAAAGAAAATTAGACTGAGCTCAGATAGCTCAAATTGGTTACATGATGCTTCCTGTTTTCTTTTAAGAGACCAGGGACTGATTTTTAAATAATCCAAATTTAGGAAAGGATTTCCATCAGGTATACTGATATTGGTAGTTCTTTATGATTTATTTCTCACTGTGTGTTATCGGTGTATTTATAGTTATATGTGTATAATGTTTGTACGTGAGTGTGAGTGAGGTATGTGTGTATGTGTACATATATGTGTATAATATCTATGTTCATATGTGTGTGTTTGTGTGTGAGTAAGGGTGTGTACTGTCTCTGTGTGTATACGTATGTATGTGTATTGTTTATGTCTGTACATACTTGTGTTTTTCTGTGTGAGGGAGGATGTGTGTGAGTCCCTGGGGTCTGTCCTCCACCTTCAGCCTTAGGTCAGAGTCTCTTTGTTGTCTGCACCCTGGCTAGACTGTGAGCTTCTGTGGATTCTTCTGCGTCTACCTCCTGCCTCAAGGTAGTTAGTGCTGTGGTTGCAGACACAGGCTTCCATGCTTGGCTTTCATGTGGGCTCTGCAGATTTGAACTTGGGTCTTCTCACTTGCATGGCAAGAACTTGGCTCACTGAGCCATCTCTCCAGGCCTTCATCTATTCTTTGTGGTCTCTGCCAGGCTCCTGTTCTGTGTTCCTGACTGGCAGTGATTCTGGGGCCTCATTCATGAGCAGCTGTGGTACCCAAAGCTGCCAGGTGTTCCGTTTCTGTCCCCTCGTTTGGCTGGGTATCAGTTCTAACTGCCTTTATACCAAAATAAAATTGTTCTTTAGAGAAGCAGTTAACATATTTGAGAATCTTGTTTTCTGGCACAATTCTTATAATCTGTTGTATCTTACATATTTTCTCTTCACAAGATGTTATAAAAACAAAGTACAGGTATGAATATAGCTGCATCCCACCCTTTAAACAGACTCTGAGGATGTGCTCCATGGATTTTTGTAATTCCTTTGAAGTCATATATGATATAGATGAGGACAACATTGGTTTGTTCATTGAGGCTGAGAGTATGAAAATGAGAGAGATATCATCATATTCGAGAAAGAATCAGAACAATTAAGCAAATTCAGTATATATAAATATATACATGTTTACAGAAGACATGTAATATATATATATATATATATAATATATATATATATATACTCATAAGTACATCCTTGCATAATTATTGTGTCTGGTTAATGACTAGTTTTTGAGAGGGAAAAAGAAACTAGGACTCTTACTATGTTACTTAACTCTTCCTAATATGAATGATTTTGAGTTAAATGAATGAATGAACGAAGGTTCCTAAGAAAATAAAAAGGAAGACATGGCTTCACCACAGAAGAGGGGTGGGAGAAAGAGTAAACTGTGTGAAGGTATTGGAAAGTAGACTTTTGTCCTTGAGTAGATATTTATTTAGAAGGAAGAAGAAAGTAGAGATGGATATAGGTGGGTGAATCTGAGAGATGTTTAAGGTGAAATCCATGGGTGTGAGTAGACAGGGTGGGGGAAGGAATTAAGTTTATTAAGAATAACTTCTAGGCTTCTGACCTTTACAGTTGGAGGAGAGCAAGTGAGATGGTGGTGTTTATGAAACCAGGCTTGCATTTGTTGACTTTATGTTTTCTTAGTTGCATACAGGGTTGGAGAACTCAGAGGAAATCTTTGGGCTAGACAGAGATGGTATGGAAGTTTCCTGTTTACTTAGAAGTTGCAGTTGGAGCACTTCTATGGTGAAGTGTGGTATCTCCAAGAGCAAGAAGACAACTCAAAAAATAAAGATTAGGCTTTGTCTTTAGACCAGTGTTGAGAGTCAATGCATGAGGATAAAGTGCCAGAGAATCTGAGAAGACTAGAGAAGAGACATCTGCAAAGCAGAGTGCTGCAAGGGCAAAGGGCAGTGAAGTCTGGAAGAAGGGACAGTAAGATGTAACCAGAACTCATCCAGTTGTCCCTTAGATATTGCTAAGAACACTCCTGATTTTCTTTCTCTCTCTCTCTTTTTTTTTCTGCTGAAAAGAGGATGAAAGATTTAGTTCTGGAATCATCACTTCAGTCATATACCGATGTATTAATCAAAGCAATTGGAGATGGATTCTTCAAGGCAAAAGACAACAGAGTCCTGGAGTCAAGAATCAGGACACGGAGGCGATTGTTCACTTGTGCTCACTGATTACTAGTGACAGATTAAACTGAATATGCTGAGGACAGTCTCTACAATTGATGCCATTATGTCCATGTTGATAAAGAAGACCCAGCGAAGTCCAGGAGTGTCCCCAGGGCCAGAGAGCTAGTCAGGATTAGAGATTGTATTTGGACCCAAGTATGCCTAATGCTGCAGTCTTGACCCAGAACCAAAACAGAGAAACTTAGAGTTAATGAGCAGAACCAACAATTCAGGTCCATTTGAGCCATCGATGCAGAGAGTGTTTTAGAAATGGGCAAGTGTCACTTACAATAATGAAATCCAGAAGAATGAGAGCTGTAAAGAGGCTGCTGGATTTGGAGAATAAAATCCAAGTGAAGGGTTATGAAAGAAAAAGTGATCAGACAGTGACAGGTGGGGTTGAGTGGGTGTACATGAGATGATGGAGGTGTCACTAG